CCCCCGTCTGGCAGGAGGGCAGCCGCTCCCGGCCCCGCCGGACCCAGGAGGGCTGGCGGGCAGAGTCCCGAGGCGGGCGTGGCCTGGTGACAGGGCAGCGGGGAGCTGGCACGCGAGCGAGGGGACTGCCGGGCGGAGACGAGGGGGAGCCGCCGAGAACGCCACGCGGGGCTGGTGGGCGGTGCCCGCGAGACCCCAGGGCAGACCTGGGCGTCGCGTGTGGGGACGGGCACGCGGCCTGGCCTGACCTTCCAGGAGGGCGGCGGGCGGGGAAGGGAGGTGCCGCGGAGGCGAGCGGGGTAGGGGTGGCCAAGTACCCGTGGGAGCCCAGTCGCAGGGACAGGCCTCCCCGCCACTCCCGGGCACGGTGGCGCTGGGGCACCCCCGGGGTCACCCACGCTCTGCTTGAGCGCAAGGATCCCAGCCTCGGGCCGCCGCTCTGTTGCCCCCAAGAGCCGGCATCTGACCCTTCCCACGGGGCCCAGTTCTGTGGGTGCGGCAGGTTCTGAGGGGCCCGCGGGGGGGCAGGCCCTGGGGCCAGGCAGGCTGGGGGCTGTGCCGGGGCCGCTCAGCGTCGCTTGCTCACCCCGCAGACCACCATGCCGGGGATGAAGCGGGACTGCGGTGGGGCTGCGGCCGTCCTGGGGGCCTTCCGAGCCGCCATCAAGCAGGTGAGTGGCCACTGGCCGGTTGGGCGTGTCCCTCAGCGCGCAGGTGCCGGGTTTGGGCGTCAGCAAAGTAGTGATGGCTGAGATGTCCCCGAGGTCCCGTCTCTGACCCGTGGGCGCACAGGCACAGAGATCTCGCCTCCACGTGGCCTTGTAGAACTCGGGCTTTGTGCGGGAGGGTCACTGGCCACCAGCTGCAGTGTGGACAGGGGGGCGTGCTGAGCGTCATGGGTGGGGCTGGAGGGGGGCGGGGACACCCCAGGGGGCGAGCCGTGGGCCCCCCGCCTGCGGTGGGGGGGAAGCGTCTGGCCGCCACCACTCTCAGAGGCTGGCGGCGGGGACCAGCCTGCCCCTCCGCTGCCCACCTCCGGCCGGTGACCGAAGCCTCGGCCCGCTTTCCCCAGGGCTTCAAAGACAACCTCCACGCTGTGTTCTGCCTGGCCGAGAACTCCGTGGGGCCCAACGCCACGAGGCCAGACGACATCCTCACGCTGTACTCAGGAAAGTAAGGTGCCTCGCCTGCACGCTGGCCGGCCCGCGGGTCGTGGGGCAGGAGGGTCCCGGGCTGGGGGAGCAGGGGCCTCACGTCGGGCTGAGTCACGGCCCGGGCGTCAGGCCCACGGTGGCCAGAGCCGGGAGCCGCCGGGTGGGGGGACGGCCCTCCCGGCCTCGGGCTTCCCCGCTCTCTGGGGCCAGAACCCGCCCTGACAGCCCCTCGGCCCTGCCGCCGCCGCCGAGGTCAGTCTGGGCGTGCCTCCTCGCAGCGCGAAGGCCTGATGGCGAGGGTCACGGCTGGCGGCAGCTGGGGAGAGGTGGCCAGGCTGAGTGGGCGAGGCTGCTCTCTGGAGCCGGGACACACCTGCACACGCACACGGGGCGCACACGCGGGCCCCCAGCTGTGTACCCGCACACACAGGCCCCGGGGGCCCCACGGCGCCCTTCTCTGCGCCGACCCCTGGCCAGGCACGTGTGCAGGGGCCGGGCGGGAGCGTCCCAGGTCACGCCAGCACACCGGCCGCTCCCAGCTCAGGGCACAGGCGGCCCGCCCCGCCCCGCCCCTGCTGCCTTGTGGTGGGGGAGGAGGAAGCTGCAGGGACGGGCGGTGGTGAGCGCCTGAGCTCTGAGGGCCTCCGTCCCCCAGGACTGTGGAGGTCAACAACACGGATGCCGAGGGCCGGCTGGTGCTGGCCGATGGCGTGTCCTATGCCTGCAAGGACCTGGGCGCCGACATCATCCTGGACATGGCCACACTGACGGGTGCCCAGGTAGGCCCTTGGGGCGGTGCTGGGAGCATCCCCACCCGAGCCGGTCAGGGCTGTCCCTGACCTTCCCAGCCTGGGAGCCCGTCCCCGTCTCCTGAGGGCCTCGGGGCTGGCCCTGGTGGACGGGACAGAGGGGCCCTCCACGCCGCCCTGCCTAGAGGTCTGCTGGTCCACTTGCCCTGCTGCCTCCCTTCCTCAATTGTGGCTGCCGCCCCGCCCCGCCCCTGCCCTCTCGCCGAGTTCCCTCTGTGGGTGGGTCCCCTGGCCGCCCGGCCAGCCCCGCCCGCCCCTGGCCACTGCCCCCTTACCGGCGCGAACAAAGATGGTTGCGGGAGGAGACCCCTCCTTTGGAGTCCGGTGCTGGCCAGCCCGGCCCCACCCCTCTGGCCTCTGGCCTGGGCCTCCCGCCACCTTCCTGTGGGCAGCTGGTGCTGAGGCCGGTGGGGCCGGGCTGGGCAGCGGGCCTCCAGGCCAGAGGCCGGGCTGGAGCGCAGGGCTGCGCCCTGGCGCGGGCACGCCCTTCACTGCTCGCGGGGTGGCACCCTGGCAGACCCCCGCCCCGGGTCTGGGCCTCCGCAGAAGCAAGGCTGTCTGCCCGGACTCTCCGCCAGGCCCCGGGCTGTGTGAGGCCCCCAGTGGACCCAGGTGGGTGCGGTCTTGCCCGGCTGGGGGGTCCCGGCCTGAGGACGCAGGGTCTGTCCGGCCAGGCGGCTCCCT